AAAAAAAACAAAAACAGTTCTCTCAGCAGCTCACTGACTTGGCTGTTCTTTCTTGTCGCACGGCCTCTGGGCCTCTCTGGCATGGCCTCTGCAACACTCACATGCGTCTCAAGTCGACCAGTCTCTCCAGTCTTCCAACAGAAAAACAAACACATTGCAAACTCAATACCTTTGACCACATCTCCAAAGCTAGTTTGAGCAAATCCAGGAGGTTTCCATGGAAGTGCGACAAAGGCACATCTTTTGCGGGAAGGCAAGACCTCCAAGGGAATCTTCAACCTGAACAAACCAAATTCATGGTAGAGGTTCATACTGGAAACATAGGTGGCTTTGGGAAAGGCACCAAGAAGGCGATTTCTGCCAGCTTGTCTTCGAAAGTGAAAGGCAAAAGACATGTTGCGCTGTCGAAATGTCTGCGCCGCTACCAGTGGCGCTGGGAGAACATAGGTAAAAACCTGTAAAAATACACATTGCTGAGTCTCTGAGAGTAGAAAAATTGTTAGTTACGTTTTTCGGCACTAAATGCTGTGAGGGTTGTCATTGAGAAAACCGACGAATCATTTCTATTCAAGCAATTGTTCAACGTAAAAGGTAGCCGGGACGAAATGTGGCGCGGCAACTAAACGAAATATATATATAAACGAAAAAGAAACACACTAAGAACATCAAAGCCACTCCTCAAATGCGGCTGATGGTGGCCCAAATTCTTGGGCGATACGATGCCGTCTGTGTGGTCATTGAGCAGGTCTACGACGACTGGAAGCTTGGATTCGGTGGCCGCCGGTGGCCGCCGGTGGCTTCCTCAAAGAGCCTTGGGGGTCTGAGCTTCTGAACATCAAAACTGCAAGACACTCCAAGCTTCGAACCTGGAGACATCAAGACAAACATCAACAAGTCAACAACAGAAAGAAAAATGGGGGCGTAGGCCAGTGATTCCATCTTAAGAAGTCTTTGGGACGGCACTGAACGTACTGAGGACAATTTGCCATACCGAGCTCGAGACATGGCCCGGCAGACATGTCTAGTTCAAGGGCAGGAGTGCAAAACCATGGAATAAGGCGGACGTAGCTCCCGTTCAAACAAGAACATGCCCGGCCATGGTAAGGGCACTTTGACTCTGAAGATTGTAGTGTTTCTCAATAGATCTGTTTAATTGCCAACTTTGAACTATCTGAGGCTTTCACCATCATCGTCATCTGCAAGCTTCTTGAGGATGCTGATGTTGCAATATGACACAAAGCCTCAACTCAGAGTATGCCTCCCACATGCTTGGGAACTAGGTTACAACTTTGCCAAACTTCTCCAAATAATGTTGTATCAGTTGTATCGTTGTGTCAGGTTTGCGCGGCACTTCTGCTAAGGGTCAAATCTTGAGACCAATATTCAAACCCAGCTGAGTCTACGGCGGCAGCGGGAGCCGCCGCATGCTGCCGTCTATTCCTCCAGTGGCGCAAAAAGCGTGTCAAGACATGGAGAGGGTAGCAACGTGGTTTACACCTTCGATCTATCTTTGCTCTACTTTGCATGAGTGACCTTGGTGATTTGGGGGATCTCGCATTCAAAGAATTAAACATTGAATAATTTTGGTAAACGACTGGCCCTTTTCGTCTTTGCGAGCTCTCCAATGAAGTTGATGTGGTACTCTGCCGGCGATCTGCAATTCGAGACAGCTGGGAAAACTGTGGTGGGCAAGTGTTTGAAGACCTGGAATTCATGGCCATCGATCACTACCGAAGTCAAGCCACAGTCCATGTCCACCACAAAGCGCAAGCAGCTGTTCACCCCATAGTCCTTCACAGTCACAAGCTCTTCCCCTTCAGCATAGACAACACCATTGGACGCAATACCCCACGACTGCGGAGCTCTTCCAATGGGTAGAGTCAATGCGGTCCATCCTTCTCCCACAAAGCCCACGTAGGACCAGTCGGAACACAACAAGACCTTCACCTCCCACGCGTGGCGCCCCGCCCGGAAGCCCCGCGACGCGCGCACCGCCGCGGCGGCCGCCAGGGATCGGCTGTCGTTGAGGCGCACGGTGGAGGCGTCGGCGGCGATGGAGGCCAGGCGGTGAGCCACTCGTTTGGACCAGCCAGGTCGCTTGGAAGAAGATGCCAGGTCGTTTGGTGCCTCAGGCTCTGAAGGATCTGGGACATAGTCTGGAAGGCGGTCTGGTGCAGATGATGAGATTTCTGGTGCTTCAACAGAGCTGGCAGAGGCAGAGGGTGGTGGCCCAGTTGCAAGCACCGGATATCTGGCAGAGCTGGCAGAGATGTCGTGCCGTGGAGCACTTTGCATGCGCGGTGCCGAGGGAGCCATGCGCGGTGCTTCTGAGTCTCGGGTGCTCTGCGTCTCAGTGCTCTGTCGAAAGACACCCAGGGCTGATTGCAAGAGGCCCGCAGGGCCTGCGCCAAACAGCGATTGAGTTGAGGGTTTGGCCTCCGGTTCTGGTGCATCCACTACTTGCAGCTGCTCAGTCAAACCAAAGTATTCCACCAAATGCCAGAACTGCTCCTCCTTCTCAGGTGGCACTTTTGGCGCGGGCAGTGGCGTGCGGCTTTGGCGCTTCGAACGCAAGAAGTTCAACAGCAAGCGGAAGCAGAAAGGATCAAAGTCCAAGAAAAAGCGCCCGAAGCTGTCTCGCTCGATGGAAGATTCCCATCGACCGGAAAACAAGTTGGCCAGATATGAGTCCTCACAGGCACAAAGGGTGGAACGTTGTGTAAAAAAGAATTCGCCACCGACGTTCAGCGAGATGACCTCGTCGTCAATTTGTCCAGTAATGATTTGAACTCTCTCTTGGTCGTATCCCAAGCCATCACGTTCCTCTTGAATTCTCTGGTCCCGCTCTTCCAGTTGCTCCTTGAGGTTCCGCCTTTCATCCTCTAGCGCCTTTTGCAACGCTTCGCGCTCCTTTTGCAGCTTGTCATTCTCTTCGTTGAGCTCTCGTGAGAGGCGTTGAGCAAGGTCGATGATAGGGTCCATGGAGGTCCACGCCCCGTGGTGTGCACATTGGTGACTACGGACTTCACCTAGCTCTGGAAACATTCACTCTTGGTTTGAACAGCAGCAACTGCGAATTCTTTTTTGAGTTGAAGTGGGTTAAGAATCGTCAAACACTCAGTATGTAGCAAATGACTCATGACTCTAGCTTCATTGGCAGTTCCTTGGCAATGACTTTCTCTTTGTTTCGGCAAGCTTGTGCCAAGAAGCCTGCACAGAGATCCAATGGACGGCTTCATTGACTGCTTGAACGTGCTGATTGGAATCTTTATGGACTAGTATGGCTTTGCATGGTTCTGCGTGGCCAAACTGTGAACCGCGCGTTCGAACGCGCGGCCTTCAGACTTGGATTTGTTTGAATGAAGAAGCCATGAGCGGCTCGCGAATACCACCGACCAGTCCCCAAACCGGAGCTGATCAGGCGGCGAGCGGCGAGCTGATCATGGCACCAATTTGCTTTGTTGACAAACTTTAGAAATTGGTTGATGATTCTTGGCATGTTCCCTTGCCTGCCCGGGCTGCGAACGAAACCTGCGTGACACCTTGGTCAGAGGTCAAGTCGCACAATCTTGAGCCAAAGAAATTGTTTAAAAAGCAATCCAAACTCATGCACTCACAAGCAAACGCCCCTGTGTGCAAGAAAAGCCTCCTTCAGCTCTGCCTAGCCCAAGCCTGAGAATCTTTTCGGCCAGCACACCCCAGCTATTGCTATCAATAGCTCCCATGCCCCCCTCAGCTAAGGCTGGATGAAGGGCCTTCGCCGGCCAAACCAATGTTGCAATTGTGCTGTACCATTCCGGCCCCGAAGTAGTCATCATCTCTTGCCACATGGTTCTTTTGTTCGGGCCTGGCCCGTTGGTAGCTGTTTCACGTACCACAGCCCACAGCAGTTGCAAGCTGCGTGGACACCTCGCCCTGCTCACTTGGAAGCGAACTCCTAGAGCGAAGTCTTGGATCTAGCCTTTTCTTTCCTCCCGCAACTCCATGTCTCCTATGGTGATAGAACTGATCAAAACTGATCAGTGGTGCAAATGAGTCTTCATCGCCGGGGCTCTTCACGCTTGAGGCATTCCCAGTGAGTGTCAGGCAGTGTCAGGACAGAACGGAATCACTGTTGTCGACATGCACTGCTTTGGAACAAGCCTGCACCCGACTTGTGCTGATCACTCCCTTTGTGATCAGGGTCTTTTTTCCACACACTCCTGTCAAACCTCGACTTCCAAACCAAAGAGAACCAAACAAATTATGATAAGTGAACCTCACAGGGGTCCCAAAGTCTTCCTCTTGATCTTCCATGCTCCTCCGCGCGGTCGCTCTCGGCTCCTCAAGGCGGAGGTCTTTGGGATCCCGGAGATTCACCAGCACGATGGCCGGATGCTTCCAGAAGGCCGGCACACAAATGCACCTCGAGCCACAGCTTGCTTCGGTGTGTTGTAGATGCAAAAAGAAACCAAGGGCTGTTTTAGGCTGTTCTTCAGGGGGGCGTTTGTGGAAGAAAGGATTTGGATGGATCGCGGTCTTTGGTGCTTTTTTGTCCATGTTTAAATTGTACAGAAGCCTAGGCAAAAAAAACAATCCACGTGGAATGTGATGCTGTTGATACGATCTGATGATTCTCTCTGTGAGGAAAGCCAATAGTTGGCGACTCACCGACAAACTATCAGCAGTTTGGTACAGCAATTTTGACTTACAGCTTGGAAAGGTCCTCTGAGGCTCCGCACTGTGTGCCTCCCTGACCACTGGAGTGCCACTTACTCGCCTAGTTACGGCCACATTGGCTGGACCATAGATTCGTGTTGTAGATTCCACATATAAGTCTAGTTTTCTGCCACATTTCATACTGTGCACTCTGTCAGTGGCCATCTCACACTGGAAAGAAACTCTACCGAGCCCTCCCACGAACTTGTCATGACCACCCGAGAAGAGGACATGCGGCACCTCGAGCATCACGGGTCTGACGCGGGCATGTTCCCTTACCAAGCGCTTTTAACTCTAATCTAGGGGGTGGAGGCCATCGCTAGTAGGGTGGAGGCCATGAATCCTTCTCAGGAGATATGATATATCAATGATATATCAATCCACCATTTTCTCCCAACCATTTTCACTGAAGCCTTTCATGGTTCTGAAGAAAGGGCAAGAAATATATGACAGCTTTCTCTCGCAGCATCTCTTAACAAGTCCTGGTTTACACACCCACGTGTCGGACAAGAAGCTTCACCACCTTTCGTGTTGCCTAGACCGGAACGAACAGCGACCAGCGACGAATCTTCGAGAGAAGACCGGTCATTGTGTCCGTCTTGTCTTCCTTCTGTTTCGTTTTGTCTCCCTTCTTGTCTCTGTATTCCTTCAGTGGTCATTGTGTCTGGTAAACCCAAACCAATTCCACGCTCCAAGCTGCCGCATCGATCACGAAGGGATCGGTCTCTTCGAAGGGCTGCGTCGGCAGCCTGAAGGGAAGCGGCGAGCTTCGACCCGGACGAGACGGAGACCGAGCTCTTGACCCGTTTGGAATCTCGTCGCAGCTTGGAACGCATGTTTGGAATCTCGTCGCAGTGGGGATTCTTTGGATGATATAGTGGCTAGATTGATGTGACTATAGTGACTAATTGCTCGATCTGTGTAAAGGTGACCCTATGAACGACATGCAGGAAGTCTGTGTATCGGATTTGCGAACCTCTGTGTCCGGTTGCGAAAGGTCGAATTCTTACGCTGACAGGCATGGGGACGCTCGTATACGCTCGTGTCGGAAACCATGGGGTCGCTTCATGTCCTATCAGTCCCGGTGCAGTAAGTGTCACACAGCAGAATCCGTTCACAACTGGTGTGGCCTGTCGTTCAATCCAAATGGCTAAGCTACAAGCAAGCCCGCAAGCCCAAAACACTGCGGGATTCCTAGATGTTCCTCGTGATTGTTCGGTTGAACCAATTGACCATACCGACCTGACGACAGAGAATAGACCATACATGACCAGCAAGTGCTTCGAGAACTTCCACCTCCCAAAGAGCCCGGGTAAACATTTAGACCGAACAGTGACCGAACTCCCCCTCGGCAAGAGGCGTGTCGGGCGCTGTGGGCGCCAGGTGCCGTGCCTCCGAGACGAATCCCGAGGGTCCCCGAGAGGAAATGAACCTTTCATAACCTTTCTATTCTGGAGAAGAACCTTTTGGTGATCTCTCTTTAAGCAAAAAAAGGGGTGTGGTACACGTTGGTACACCTAAACCTTTGCCATCCGGTCCAAAACCACGGTGTTGATCCCACAGCTCAGATCCAACGAGTTGCACGGATCCAGATTACGAGTTGGGAGGACAGGTCGCACAACGGCCATGGTTTCAGGCATTGAGTGATATTGAGTGTTATTGAGTGTCCTCTTCCTTTGGTTCTCTGATCTTCGTCCAGCCTCAAGGCATTTCTCGAGTGCCTCCAAGGGCTCCAGTTTGGCGCAGCGCAGCAAGTCCTCGAGGCTCGGCTCGGCGGTTTGAGCAGTCGGACATGACCGATCGTCTTCGGTCACTTTAACTCCAACCTACTAAGCAATGGCCTCCAACCTACATGTGG